AAACTCCTGTTTGTTAAGGCCATCCCACTGGTGGTATATTTCTTGTCAGAGTGGCACTAGGGAACCAGAACATCCTATAGAGCCAGAGTTAGCTTCACAAGGAGGAAAAACCTTTCCCCCTACGATGCATCCATTATTTTAATGTTCAAAAACTAATGATCATTAAAGAGGAAAAGAAACCTGTTCATCAGAAACTAAAGGTAGAGAAAATGAAAGTCAAGATAGGATTCATGCCCTGCTGAAAATAAGAACTCACAGGGGAGCTCTCAGCACATGGCTTCAATCTTCTCTGTGGGGCATAAGGTTAGCAGAGAGGAAGAACAAGAGGGCTTAAGAGAAGAAAAGGGATGAATAATCATTTGGAGGGTATGTATAAGAGAGATAACTGATGAATAAAATGAATTATTTATGGATGAATAGAAAAAACTGATTCACAGCAACTGTGCTTAGGGCAAAGCTAAACAATTTACCTGCTGGTGGCAACTCACGTGGATACAAAATTGAGCAAAAGAGAAAGTGGGTGAGAGAATGGAATTATTAAGTGGTATTAGAGGTGAAGAGGAAAACCCGGCCCATTGTTCTTTCAAAACACACTTACGGATGTTTTTTATCTGCTGTGTGTGATCCTTCATTCTTTACTAGGCTCTGGGTATTCAGGATGAACAGAGGACTCTCCTGCTCCAGGGGACCCATCCACCACCGCAGGAAGATGATAAACAAACACACTAACGAAAACCCAGTGGCGTCTAACACCAAGTCCCCAAGGGATCTGGCAACTTTAATTTTTGAAAGGCAAGTTCTACATAGTTTTATTCTCTGGCATCATGTATTGACAACACTTGTGTCACGCAATAATAAAGTGCGTGCTGTACACCTACCACGCAGCTCACGGATTAGAGCTTGTACTTTTACATTCATCTAAGTTCTTCTACTTCCCTTTCAAAGCCCTTCATTATATTATGACATCATCTTCACATAACCAACCTAATTTCCAACTATTTTGTCCAAACACTTTATTGTAGTCAGACATACTTGACAGAGGTGTTCCACAAATTCTAACAAAACCACTATTCTTTCTTGTGTAAGAGAAAAAGAGTCGAAATGTTTTATTTACCTAATAAATGTACTTCTTAAAAACATTACTATAGGAACCAAAAAAGTTCCTGATATAAAGATTTTAAATAATGTATAAAGGTAATAAAGGTCATATAAATGGGTGACTGTAAGTGCTTTAAGAACTCTTTCAAACGTTGTCATGGGAACTTAAAATTCTTCAAAAAAGATTTTTGTATCTTTTCATTCTGATAAGAAAAATGTTATTTTACTTCAAATATTTAAAATAAAGGTTAAAATTAGCCTTTAAAAATTTACTGCCTTGTTGAACAGGCTCTTCCTCTTTGATGGACTTTTAACAATTCTCGTATACAAATTTGAAAAGATCTCACATAAATCTAAATTGTCTCTTGAAGATATTTTTCCCTGAAACTAATGACTGAAATCTATGTATTCGAGGTCACAGGGCCTGTATTTTCTAACAGAAATAGAGCTGTAACAGTACACGGACAATAACTAACCAACCCTACTGCCAACAAGTCAATTCCAACTCATAGCAACCCTACAGCACAGAGCAGACCTGCCCCATGGGGTTTCCAAGGCTATAAACCTTTACAGAAGCAGACTGCCTCATCTTTTGCCTGTGGATTCATTGAGCTTTTGGTTAACAGCCAAATGCTTTAAACAGTATGCTACCAAGGACACAGATACTAATAAAAATTATCTGCTTCTTCTGAATCAATTTACACCTTAAATGATGGAAAGGATAACTGAAAAAAGACAAAAGGAAAAACAAAGATAATATAAAAAGCAGAGCCAATTCCCTCAGTGACAAGAGTATATACTGGAAAATTTGGCTTATCTCACAGGCATGTGAATATCCACAACCTCCATCTTACCTTAGAGGAGCATGTGAATATCATAGCTCATGAGTCCAGATTATAGAGAAAGGGAGGAAGAAAAAATCTTACAAAAAGAATCGAAGAAGGAGAATTAAACCTTATCAGGTCCAGTTTTAAGTCACCAGTCCATAGAACAATACAGGTTCTTTTCAGAAAGTCCAACTTAGGTTTACTATTACAATCAGGTGTTTGGGCCTCTACACCAAAGGCTTCCTCTTTACTCTAGTTTTGTGATCTTTCTATCTGTCTTTTTAGAATTATTATCTTCTCCATCCTCCATCGCTGGGTTTTTTGATGTTGTCATTATGGTTTATTTATTTGTTTGTTTATTGTAATGTTTAACCTATAGCTTATTTTACATACATTAATAGTGCTTCTGTAGCTAAGCTTAAGAAATCTGTTTCTTAAATTAATATTTATTCATTAATCCATCTTGAACACCGAGGTTGTGCAAGTCTCTGTGGAAAACACAAACTTGCAAAACCCACCAACAGTCTTCTTAGCTAGACCCACGAGGACTTGAAAAAAGAGTTTGATTAACCCTTTATCCACAAAAGCTGAAAAGGATATGTTGCTTATACTTAAGAGGAGAGGTCTGATATCTATGCTACTATGATTCAAGGTGGAAAGTGATAATTAAGAAGGACCAAGAAGTTCAGAGTTAAGAGAGACATTTTCAGCTATGGAACATCAAAGCAGGTTTTAAAGGAACAAGTAGTACTTAGGACATGCTGTTCAAAAGAACTTTCTGCAATGATGGAGATGTTTTATATTTGTACTATTTGATATGGTACCCAGTAGGTACATGTGTGTAGCTACTGAGCACTTGAAATGTGGCTAGTGAGAATGAGGAACTGAGTTGTAATTATATTTAATTTGAACCAATTTAAATAGCTGCATGCGGCTGATGCCTACTATACTGGCAGTGCAGATTTAGAATATGGAACTAGAAGAAAGAGCAGGATTTAGACCAGTGGAAAGTCAAAGGGCTACTTATAAAGAAGAGGATAGCATAGAGAATAAGCAAAATTCCGTAGCATCTGCACAGAAAGTGACAAATAACTGTTGACTCTTAGAGCACAGACTAGTCATTAGGAGCAGGAGGAGGTGTTTGAAAGACAGTTCAAGACTAGATCATAGCTTTGAATGCCAAGGTAAGACATATAGACTTTTTTTTTTAACCACTGTTGAATTCTCATCAATTGGTAACAAAACTGAAGCACTAGGAATGCTAATCGGTGACAGTGTGTAAGAGAGCTGGGAGTAAGTGAGACTAGAGGCACAATCACCATGGCATTCCATTTGTGGCTTAATAATGTTGTTAATGATGATGATGATGGTAACGGTAGTAGCCAGCACTTTTTTAGAGCAACCGACTATCTGGCAGACTTATTCTAGGCACTTTTCATGTATTAATGCCTCATATAACCCACTGAGGCAGGTTAGGTACAACTGTTACCCCTGTATCACAGAGGGGAAACTGAGACATGGAGAGGTCAAGTAACTTGCTCATGGTTTCATAGGCAGTAGGTGGTAAGGCCAACCTTTGAACCTGGATAATTGGACTCCAGGGACTCTACTCACTCAGCTACACCACCTTCCAGAGGAGGCCATGTGTGCTTGCATTGTCTATGAAGATTTTGGAAAGATCCTTAAGGAATGACTCATCCCTCCCTGAGGAACCTGGTAACAGCAGAGCTTATACTTGTGGTACAAGGCTCAACAAGCTAACCCATGTGAGGATATCAAGTGCAAACAGAAAATGACATCTTAAATAGTAGTTGACATCTTTTATTTAATTATTACCAAGTGTCCAGTATTCTTTACGCATCATCTCATTTAATCCTCACAAGAATCGATGAGGGCAGTATTATTTTCAGCTATAAATTTTCAGATGAGGAAATACAGACTCAAAGAAACCTGACCCATTGCCCCATTGCCCCTCATTACAGAGCCGGTTAGTGGCAAAACCAGAACTGGACTCCCACGCGAATCACTCCCGTTTTCTTCTACTATCTTATGCTGTAGGCACGGAGCGGTGGGACGGGAACACTGCCAGTTTGGAAGCCTGTTTCTTCTATTCTCAGAGGACTGGCAGTCCCATCTGACAGACTCTGGAGTCATGCTGGGATGTGCACAGCTGTGGCTCCAGGCTGTTCCTCCACCCAGCTAGAAATTATACCATGGGGATGCTTGAGTCAGTCCTTGTTCCAAGGAACTACTAGACAGAGCCTGTGGAATTGGGCAGGACTGAAGAAGCTCTAAGGATTTCTACATTTAAAAAAATAAATAAACATGGCTGTTCAAAACTCTGGGCTATGAGAGCCACAGAGAATGATTTAAAAAAATTCTCTGAAAATAACCGAGGAGAGATATAGCGCAGAGGACAGCACCTAGAGACAGAAATCCTACGAGAACAGAGCTGAAGTTCAGGAAAAGGACAATGACAGTTTCTTAGTCATTTCCCATATGTTTAACCTCAAAGTTTTTCAAAGCTTAATTCTGAGAAAAATGATTATGTCATAATGTTAAATTTAGAAAGCAGAACACAAACTTATAGACACACCAACACATAAAAAAGAATTCTACGGCTTTATATTTTTCCTGAACTTCTCAAGTTTCCTATAATATACATACATTACGTTGTTAATCAGGGGTAAAAAATAAAAGATAGTAATTGAAATACTTTTACTCAATACTTGGGGAGAGAAAAAAATTACATATCATGGTCTAGTAATTCCCAAATACTTAATGGGCAACATCAAAATTACCTCAGGCATTAGTGAAAAATTCAGATTTCCAAAGCCCAAAGACCTACTCAATCAGAACTTCCCTGGGTAGGTCCCAGAAGTCAGGAGTTTTAACAAGCTTCCTGGATGACTATACTCTTTTTTTAATCAATATCACTTTCAATTTTCTTTTTCATTTCAAGGCTCCTTGATGGTATATTCAACACTATGACAAACTTATGTGCTAATGGAAGCATGATGTTTAACAGTGAGAGCAGGTGACAAGGGCGCAGACTTGGGTGGCCTAGAGTCTCACCATTGATCTCTGCAAACTTGTAAATGTCACTCAGGGTTTTCAGTTCTTGTCTTGGACATGCTGCTACACACAGTGCTACAGACTTGATCTTCCGGTTTATCAAGTCCAGATTGCATGGATCCAAAAAGAATACATACCTAAAGCATAGAGAAAAGAATTGAGATGTTATTTCACACAATATACTCTCGCTCACCACGTATTTGACAAAGCCTAGCAGCAAAGAACTTCTCCATACTCCTTCACAAGAAAAATTTCACAAATCTAAGCACAGGTGAATTTTTTTTTTAATAAGTGCATATAAATATACTGTTAACAATGAGGAAAATCACTTCATGATCTACTTTTCTAATACTTGTATTTTTATAATCAGAAGTCATCTATTTTAGTTTTCGTAAAACAATCTGTTTTAGCTTTTCTCTTTTTTCTGTTAAACTTCATTTGCACCAGAAATTACTACAAGACCTCAATAGCTCTAGTGGCATAGTGCCTAAGGCATCTGACTGCTAATCAAAAGGTGCCAGTTCCAACACACCAGCCACTCTTTGGAAGAAAGACTGGGTGATCTACTTCTGAAGAGATACCACCTCAGAAACCCAAGAAGGGGTCGCTATGAGTTGGAAATGACTCAATGGCAGTGAGTTTGGTATTACATAGGTTATGTGATTGTGTGGATCATGACAAATTATGGATAACATTGAGAAGAATGGGAATTCCC